GCTGAGGCAGCGCGCGGCTCCCGGGTCCGGGCTGTTTGTAGTCCGCGCGCTCCGTGCTCCGGCTTTACAGCCTGTCACTTTAGTGCTCCGAGTGGGGGGGACGAGTGGGCAGCAGCCAATGGAAACTGGCCACCTGCATGTGGGCAACGGTAAACAAACTGTGGGAGAAAAATCAAATAACTCCAATTGTGTCTAAAGGGGGGAACTGTGCAGAAATCATAACTTTCTAAAAGAAAACTGCTGTAAGGGTTAAAAAGTTTTCCAGGCCTCTCTCCCTGTAACAGAGAGAAATCAAATTAGCTCTAATCAAAGACCCTTACAAATGACTATCTCAAGTTCATGGATACTCCTAGTCTGTCACAATTTGTCATGTAAACCCTTATCTTTGTCACAGTTTGCCTTGTAGACTCCTCCACTCAAGTTCTCATGTGGCTTTGTGTACTGTAAAAACTTACTTCTAGCACTCCTGGGGTGAACAGAAGTCTCAAAGTACTTCTGCTGAGACTTTGATATGTTAAAGAAGAACAATCCACAACTGAGCTGTCTAAGCATTCTGTATAAAGGATACCTGAATCTGTCTGTCAGGGCTGCTGCTTCACTCTTGGAAGTGACAGCCTGCATGCATGCATCATAAAGTTTTCTCTTCTAAGTTTCTTTCCTGCCTCACTGATTTGACCTCCGGCCTCGAACCCTTCTGGGGGCTCTGTACCCCAGGGGAGCGAGATTTCCCCCTCAAAACCCACAACCCCTTGAGAAACCACAAATAGTCTAGTAGCAGAAATCCCATTAAAGTCTGTGGCTGCGTCTAGACTGGCCAGTTTTTCCGGAAAATCAGCCGCTTTTCGGGAAAAACTTGCCAGCTGTCTACGCTGGCCGCTTGAATTTCCGCAAAAGCACTGACTTCCTACGGCAAGAAATCAGTGCTTCTTGCGGAAATACTATGCTGCTCCCGTTCGGGCAAAAGTCTTTTTGGCGCAAAAGGGCCAGTGTAGACAGCTCAGATTTGTTTGGCGCAAAAAAGCCCCGATCCCGAAAATGGCAATTGGGGCTTTTTTGCGCAAAAGCGCATCTAGATTGGCCACGGACACTTTTCTGCAAAAAGTGCTTTTGCGGAAAAGCGTCTGTGCCAATCTAGACGATCTTTTCCGAAAATGCTTTTAACAGAAAACTTTTCCGTTAAAAGCATTTCCAGAAAATCATGCCAGTCTAGACATAGCCTGTGAGTACAGTGTTTCATGTATGCTATTAGTAACCATGTCAATTATCAATACAATTAAGTTGTATATTTTCAGTCATGCACATGGACATTCTTATATGGTGTTCTTATATGAACATAGATAAGAAGGCCATACTGGGTCAGACCAAAGGTCCATCTAGCCCAGTAGCCTCTCTGCCGACAGCGGCCCACACTAGGTACCCTAGAGGGGATGGACCGAAGACAATGACCAAGCCATTGGTCTCGTGCCATCCATCTCCAGCCTTCCGCAAACAGAGGCCAGGGACACCATTTCTACCCCCTGGCTAATACCACTCCATGGATCCAACCTCCATGACTTTCTCTAACTTCTCTTTAAACTCTGTTACAGTTCTAGCCTTCACAGACTCCTGCAGCAAGGAGTTCCACAGGTCGACTATTTGCTTTGTGAAGAACAACTTTCTGTTATTAGTTTGAAGCCTACTACCCATTCATTTCATTTGGTGTCCTCTAGTCCTTTTATTATGGGAACTAATGAAGAACTTTTCTTTATGCACCCTCTCCAAACCACTCATGATTTTATAGACCTCTATCATATCCCCCATCAGTCTCCTCTTTTCTAAGCTGAAAAGTCCCAGT